ATCGACAGTCCTAATTATAACATAGTTAAACTGAAGACAATGTAGATAATATTATTATTTTCCTGCAGTATCCTACATCTTTGGTCTTAAGGTTAACTGGACACAGTTGCATACATAATTAAGGTAATTAAGTAATGAAAGGAAATTAGTATCTACAAGCTAATCTGATTACATTGTTAAACTTCTAACAAGATATAGGTAAACACAGGCCTGGTCTACACTGGAGTGGGGATCGATCTAAGTTACGCAACGTCAGCTACGTGAAGTCGACGTACTTATACCTACTTACCGTGTTGTCTTCACTGCGGTAAGTCGATGGCTGACGCTCTCCTGTCGACTCCACATGCGCCTCTCGCCCTGGTGGAGTATCGGAGTCGACAGGAGAGCGCTCGACGGTTGATTTATCGCGTCTAGACTAGACGTGATAAATCGACCCCCGCTGGATTGGTCGCTGCCCGCCGATCCAGCGGGTAATGTAGACAAGCCCACAGACAAATACATTTAGCATCTACTTTTGATTTCTTTTACTACAAATGAATGATGATGATGTACTAGTCTAGTACAGGTTTCAGAGTAGTATCCGTGTTAGTCTGTATCCGCAAAAAGAACAGGAGTACTAGTGGCACCTTAGAGACTAACAAATTTATTGTAGCATAAGCTTTCGTGGGCTACAGCTCACTTCATCGGAAGCACGTAGTGGAAATACAGAAGGAAGATATATATATATATATATATATATATATATATATATATATATATATACACACACACACACACACACAGGGAACATGAAACAATGGGTGTTACCATACACATTATAAGGAGAGTGATCAGTTAAGGTGAGCTGTTGTCAGCAGGAGAGAAAAATAACTATTTGTGGTGGTAATGAAAATGGCCCATTTCCAGCACTTGACAAGGAGATATAAGGAACTGTGGGGGGTGGGGGTGGGGGGAGATAAGCATGGGGAAATAGTTTTACTTTGTGTAATGGCCCATCCACTCCCAGTCTTTATTCAAACCTAATTTAATGGTGTCCAATTTGCAAATTAATTCCAATTTAGCAGTCTCTCGTTGGAGTCTGTTTTTGAAGTTATTTGTTGTAATATTGCGACTTTTAGGTCTGTAATCGAGTGGCCAGGGAGGTTGAAGTGTTCTCCAACTGGTTTTTGAATGTTATAATTCTTGACGTCTGATTTGTGTCCATTTATTCTTTTACGTAGAGACTGTCCGGTTTGGCCAATGTACATGGCAGAGGGGCATTGCATAGTTTAGTACAGCATTTCTCAAATGTGGCCACCAGGGGCTTTTCTTGCGGCCACAGTCTCTTGGGCAGTGACTAGGGGGTGGGGGCGAGGTGCAAAGCAGTGGCCCCTCCCCCAGGGCCATCAGCAGGGGTTTGGCACTGCCCCCTCTCTGGAGCCACAAATGCCAGAGGAACAGGCAGCCAGTGTGAGTTCCCCACCTTCCCAGCGGCAGTGAGGCTCAGGCTTCAGCCCTGGGGTGGCGGGTAGCAGGCTCTGGTCGTGGGGGTTTGGGCTCCAGCCCTGGACCCTGACTGCAGTGCCAGCCCTTGGCTCCCCCTCCACACACACATCACCTCTGGCCCCCACTGACTCCCCTGCTCCCCATCCATTGCCCTTCGCCCCTGCTGTCTCCTTACCCACCTTCCCATCCAGGGCTTAATTTGTCCCCTGGCTTGCCAGGGCTGAGTAAGTCTACTGTGAAAATTGATATTTGTATGTTTGTTAATATCACTTTTCACAGCCTCCCATCTAGCTGGTAAATCTGCTGTGGAAGTTGATATGCAGTACAAATTGATAACAAATATTACTTTTCGCTGCAGCAGACTTACTAGTTAGCAAGTCTTTTAAAAAAGCAAAATAAACAACAAAAGAGACAAGAATGTGCAAAACACCTTATTTGTGTTTCTATTCTGTTTAGGGCCAGTAAAGAATAGAGACAACTGTATATTATTTTTAATTATTGAGTCTGCAAAAAAGCCTTGGCATAAATAAATTACAGTGATTTGGACATGTATATATGCATATTTATTTGTTTTTCCTAAAGTTAAGTATTTTAGGGAAAATTGTCAGAACAGCCACCAGCAAGAGTTGGTGGCTGTACTCTGAGGCCACCAAAAAATTTATTGTGAGAACCCCTGGTCTAGTACATCTCCTTGAAATTTACATACAAGTAGATTGACTTGATTACAATTGTAATGCCTTCTGTTAAATTGTTATGGATCATACAATATGGGTCATCAGGTTGGTTGGTCTGTCAGTGACACAATGACAGCATGGGATAATTTAAGATTTTGCATTACAGAAGCATGGCAGGCTGATTTTGTCTGGTGCCTGGCAAGCCAAGGGTTAAAATCTTGTTCCAGGTAGTTAGCAACTAGATTTGTAATCATTCCCAGGAAACAACTGTTTTCTTATCAAAGCTAATTGGCTGCAGTCACTTGATTCCCCTCACAGATAAGGTTGTAAATTAACAATAGAGAAAGAACTAGAAAACAACATACTGGGAGCTTGAAGAAGCAGTAGACGAAGCATGTGTTTGACTAAGAACTTGTCTACACTGGCAATTAACAACACTGCAACTTTCTCGCTCGGGATGTGAAAAAACACTTCCCTGAGCGCAGCAAGTTGCAGCGCTGTAAAGCGCCAGTGTAAATAATGCTGGGATCTACGCCCCACGTTGAGGTGGTTTTTTTAGAGTGCTGGGAGAGCTCTCTCCCAGCGCTGCACCGTGACCACACAAGGCACATTAAAGCGCTGCTGCAGCACCGCTTTAGCATTGCCAGTGTAGACTAGCCCTTAATTACAGGTATTGTTACCCTATATTATTTGAGGTGTAGTAAATGCAAATTGTAGGGAATGGCTATACTACAGAGGCTATACCAGCATAGCTAAATTGCTGTAGTTATGCTGGCATTACCCCATAGTGTAGATGCAGCCTCCACCGAGCGAACGGGTTTTTCCCTTTGGTGTAGGAACACCACCACTCCGAACGATAGTAGCTACGTTGACAGAAGAAGACATAGCTGTGTCTACACTGGCAGTTAGGTCAGCATAGCTACATCAGTCAAGGCATGGATTTTTCACACCCTTGACCAACGTAGCAATGTTGACCTAATTTTTAAGTGTAAACCAGGCCTTATTTATTTGTTGAATGATGGTAAATGGAAGTTCTAAATTAGGTTAGGTCCATAGCTGAATGTGTGGATTCCCCTTTTCCCCCCCCCTTGGAGGTGATTAACAAGTGCACTGACCGGCTTGTCACAAACTGTTAAATTATCCTATAATATTTCACTCCGCCTACCTAAAAGCAGTGGCAGCAGGAACAAGGTCTGTAGCTGATTGTCAGGAAAGAAAAACAGATCTAGAAACCTCTAATTGTAAGATTGCTTAAAAGAAATAATTTAGACAAAGAGCTACCATAGCTCTATGTATCCTTCTGGTAAATTATTGATGACTTGTTTTGCTGCCTACAGAAACAAGTTTAAAATTACACCCATATTGGGGGGGAGAGGAGTTGGGAGGAATGAGAATAGATCACCCAGGCTTCCTGAATATTCTACAGTACTGCAGAACACTCCTCACCAAATTACTTGTCTCCCTTGAAAACTTGAGTAGATTGTCCTAGCAAATTATTGCTGACACTATATCCTGTTGCACCTGAATGCTGTAGTGAACAGTGTAGTGCATGCAGGTTTCAATCATTTGTTGAATTCAAACGCCTGTTAATTAATCATGACCTCAAAACAGTGGCAAATCATATCAGTGTGCTAAAAAAGGATTTTTGCAGTGAGTTTCAGCAAGTGCTGCTCTAGGTGTCACTTCTGCTCCTAAAACAACTGATATATTACCATTAAAATACATAGAGATACAGGGCTGGTGAGGTAACATCTTTTATTGGACCAATTTCTGTTGGTGAGAGAGTGAGCTTTCAAGTTTACACAGAGCTTGACTCTCTCACCAACAGAAGTTGGTCCAATAAAAAAATGTTACCTCACTCACTTCATCTCTGTAGTATTCTGGGACCAACAAGCCTACAATGACACTGCATTAAAATAAGAATTGGATTAGGCTCAAATCCAGCAAAGCATTCAAGCATGTGCTTAACTTTAAACAACAGAGTGATCCCCTTGACTTCACACACCACATGAGTGAGGAGGACGTAGCAGTTGTTCTGACACAACCTACCAAAGGTAGCAAGCTCCCCCATCCTTAACTCCTCCAAGTGAAGAAGAGCACTGCAACCTTAAGAAGCCTATATCAGACACTGCTATTGGACCCCAGGCAGATCCTTCGCTATAAAATCCTAACACCCTCTGCACACGTCACTACACATACTACTCAACTATGGCAAGGGTAGGGAACAGCCGCCGCGCATGCCCCCTGATTCTGAAGCGTAGTGACTACAAGCCCCAGAATTCCGTATGGATTTTGCCCGTTCCTCTGTAATACCCCCAGAAAGCTGTGGACTGTACCAACTGCGGATAGCAGAGGCATCACTGCTGTTGCACGCCTTCACTTTACAGGATGCGAGAGGTGGTGGTGGTGGGAGTTCCTGTCTTTTTCTGCACAGTTGGTCTTCGGATAAATCGCTTCGGTGCCTGACTAAGGAGATTCGTGTTTGTTTCCTCCCCTTCTGTCCTCAGAGCGTAGAACAGTCCCCTCAACAGGTGCGCACTGGAGGAGACTAAGGGGGCAATTGATAGGGGGATTGGGTGGGTGGTCTCTTCCTGCTCTCTCCGGAAGTAGTGGTGTGTCCTGTCCCCCCCATTGCTGTGGAGTATAGGCTGATCCAGCCTCCTTCCCTCGCCGGACTGGTTTGTCCTCATCTTGCTTCCCTCCCTTTCGCTCCAAGAAGTGGTTTGCCCCACCTCCCGGTATGGGCCCTTGGCTCGGCCCGTCCCGGGCGGGGCTGACTCTGAGGCGCTCGTAGCGACTGGCCAGAGGCGGGACGGAAAAGCTTCCTGAAGCCTGTGCGCTGCGCTGCTTGTGTCACTACAGGGGCCGCTCTCGGAGTCGCTCGTTTCCTCCCTTACTGCTCCTCTGGCGCCTCGGGGGGCCGGGGAGATGCCGACTCAGCGGGACAGTAGCGGCGGCAGCACCAGCACCACCACCATCATGTCCCACCCGACGCTGGGCGGGAGTAGCCTCGGCGGGGATAGCGCCCACCAGGTCCGGGTGAAAGCCTACTACAAAGGGTGAGTGACACGGCCTGGGCGGGGTGCCTGGCGGAACGGAGCTCGGTGGCTGGGGGGCGAGGGGGTGGGGAGCTCGGTGGCTGGGGGGCGAGGGGGTGAGGAGCTCGGTGGCTGGGGGGTGCCCGGGTGGGGGGTGAGGTGGCTGGGGGGTGCCCGGGTAGGGGGTGAGGTGGCTGGGGGGTGCCCGGGTGGGGGGTGAGGTGGCTGGGGGGCAGGGGCTTGATTGCGGGAGGGCGGTGCCGGGGCTGTTGGGCGGAAGCGTACTGGAGTGGATGGGGGGGTGTGTGTCCAGGAGGAGAAGCAGCCTGAGGGGGGATGTAGGGGGTGGGGAGCTGAGGGGCAGCAGCGGTAGGTGACATTTGTAGGGCCGTGGGGTGGCGGCTCCCGGCACTGAATGGGTAGGTAATGGAGCAAGGCCTCAGGGGAGAGGGTGTGTGGAGGGGGCGAGTCTACAGAAGGGGGTATCAGCAGTCTCTGAAGAAGCTTGGAGTTAGGGGAAATTTGGGGTGTCAGCGGTTGCCTGCAGTGATTATGGTGGCATTCCACAGTTGCATTAGAATGGGAAATCAGAGGACGCAGGAAGGAGTATCTGCTGAAACTGAAGGGGATCTAAGGGAGATGGGGCTATGTGGGGAGCACCCACGTTAGGAGAAAACTGTGTTCAGGAGTTAGGAGAGAACTGTGTTCATGCTAACTAGATAATGTGGACTTTTGGGCTGGCTGGCTTTGTCAGTGATTTGAAAATATTCATGTTTTCCCCCCTAAGAGTTGGTGAAATAATGTGAATGCCTCATTTTTTGGAATGTTGTTCTTGGCTGGGAGGGAGGGGAGTGTGAATTCTGCCCATGCTGTTGCTTGTAACAATGTTCGGGGTGGTTTTCGATGCTAAACTTATGTACCTTAGCTTATGCAGTATGTCTATAGACAGTGTTAAACTGTGCTGCAGTGCTGGCAGTTAAGAATTTCTTCTAATCATCCATAAAACGCCAGAACTTGCCAGCTGCAGCATTTTTCAGAAATGGTTCTTAAGCACTCTTTTGAACACAGTTGTAACCAACAGGGATTGTGCTCCAGGGAACATCTTGGGGGTGGTGGTGTCAGGTTTCATGAAGCTGCTTGTGGGAAGAGGCAGTCAGGGGAGAAGTGAAGAGATGAACCCATGCTGGCTCCAGATCCTCAGCTGTGCTCATTGCAGTGGCATTACTCACAAATATGAATTTATCTGTGATAACCTTTCCCTTTTGCCTCTTCCCTCCCAAATACTCTAATTCATTTTACAACAGCTGACAACTGTTCAAAATGAGCACATTCTGCTTGATTTACTTACAGTATTTTTAGAAAGCTTTGAATGATTTATTTTATGTACTAAGGTAGCACGGATAGGTCCCAACAGAGATTGTGACCCTATTGTACTAAACAGTGAACAGACATGTGCCCCAAAGAAATCGCAATCCAAATAGACAAAACATAGGTGAAAATTCATTTCAGGTAGAGGTACACATGGAGAGACCATCACATTTCTTGACAGACAGCTGGATGAAGGTATAGCAGCAATTTTGTTAAGTTTGTAGTGCTTTCCATTCAATAATAATGAATATTTAAGGCATGTCTGCAGTTTCATAATTTTAAAGAAAAGTTAAAAAGTCATGTGTAGACTGAGCCCCATAAACCTTTTCTGCATTTGTTGTCATTCAATTTCATTCCTGACCTAATGTATAAAGGAGTTTGTTTCTGGGCTTCTCTTGACCAAGGTCTGTATTAATTATGCCAATTGGTGTGATTATTTGAATTGGCATCACTAACAATTAAATTCTTCCTTTTTGAATGTCTTGTTTATTGACTTTTTACCTGAGTGGTGGTAATGCAGTCAGTAGTTCATTACTAAACCTGGAACTAAAATGACTCACACAGGAAGTTGGTTATAAACAAGCTATCTGACTGGAATGCCTTAGTCATGATTGTATTAAGGTCTTAAATTCTGACAGGGTTTTTTTCATCATGGGATCCCCTATTTTGATTTCCCCTTCCCCACAGCCAAAATACTTTTGGCTAACCTACACGCTGGCAGACCTTTCGCCTTGCACCATTGAGAAACTGTTGTTAGTGTGTAAGAGATTACCTACTCGTACTCCAGGCCTTGAAGCTGAGGACCTGAAACTCTGAACCCCTGTGTGGCAGCATAGCTTTCTTCAGCAGTGACAGTAACTCAAGATAAAACAGATCTTTTACTCAAACACTTACTCACTAGAGTGGTCATTGCAGTTAGAGCATAAAATAAATTCCTAAGAGTGGGAGGTGGCAAGAGATACAACTGTTGCTAATAGGACTATGTGGCTATGTTAGGCACCTTAGCCATATTCTTATTTATTTACTAGTAAAAAATTTTTACATAGTACTTGCACAATGACATTCATAAGGAATTCAGAAACAACAAATTAGAAGAGCCAGCACCCATCGGTATAAGTACCTGAGCTCTCATGTACATTTTCATCACTTTGTGTTTGGAAGTTTCTTGTGATGGGCCCATACTTTAGTACTTGACCTATTGTATGATACCAGTTATCAGTGCTGTACAATAATAAAGCTATATGATCTCAATACTGTAGAAGTAAGTGAATAAATTATTAGTGGCATGGTTTAGAACAGCTAAAAATAGGTCATGCAGTAATTGTGTTATTGTATGCAATGATGAATCCTGTAGATCTATCATTGTCAAAGGCAAGTCCTGAGGAGGAACCATTATCCATCCAGTTTAAGATGAAGTACTTACTCAGGAAGTACTGAGTAGTGCTTACCTTTAATGATTGGTATAGATGGAGTGTCAGAAAAGTCTTTATCTATTTTTTCAACAGCATAAACTCTAATTTAGACTAGGCTTAGAGCACAGTTAGATGACAGGGTAAAGATACTTCGGGCCCTCTCAACTGTATAACTTATACCAATGATAAGTTAGATTCCCAGGAAAATTGGTAGTCCATTTATAATAGATCATGAAGATCTCCTAAGCGAATGCATAGTAAAATAAACTGAATTCTTGTTCTAGTATCAAGACTAATTCATCATTAAATACTGGGGATATTGTAGGACCACAGACCATAAGTAGTCTTGTCCCAAGAATAAGCAAGAAAATATTTGTATCATGAGCTTCGTGGTGTGTTAACTTGCCTTTTCTTTTTTACATTAATATAGTAGCATTGAGTAGGAAAGGGAAATAACTGTTTAATACAGGGGTAGGCAACCTATGGCACGCGTGCCGAAGGCGGCACGCGAGCTGATTTTCAGTGGCACTCACACTGCCCGGGTCCTGGCCACCCATCCGGGGGGCTCTGTATTTAATTTAATTTTAAATGAAGCTTCTTAAACATTTTAAAAACCTTCTTTACTTTACATACAACAATAGTTTAGTTATATATTATAGACTTATAGAAAGAGACCTTCTAAAAACATAAAAATTTATTACTGGCATGCGAAACCTTAAATTAGAGTGAATAAATGAAGACTCGGCACACCACTTCTGAAAGGTTGCTGACCCCTGGTTTAATATATAACCAGGGAGCCAAAACATAACTCAGCAGACACACAACAAATCAATTTCAAGTGTCTTCATTTTAGAATTATTTTCTGGATTTGTAGTGGTATTGGGCAAATTATAGCACAAGTTAGTAGAGCAGAAAGTTTTTCTCCATTGTTTTGACCAAACTTCTTATGGTCTTCTGTGGAGGAATATCTTAAGAGAAAACCTTTTACTCTCTTTTCATAAATATCTGTCCGTGCTGTAAATACTCCACTGTAAAAATTAATCTAGGTAGGAGGATGACTGGGTCTTCAGGCATGGTTAGCAATTAAATCCTACTCTGTAGGAGTGGGTGATCTCCAGACCTTGCAGTGTCCATTATGAGAAGGGTCACTTTAAATCATGCTCTAAAGAGTTCTGATTTAGTACTGGATGAGAATATTGAAATAGCACACTCATTCTGGGAGTCAAATATTGTGTGACTTTCTGAGTGATGTAATTAGACCTCCTCAAAAGCATAAATGTTTGACGTGGGAGCATGATAAATGTGTGGAGGAGTTTTTTCCAAAGCATCTAGATGTAAGATTCTGAAGAATTTAGTCTCTCTCCCCAGTGTGCATAGTAGTTAATCTTAGGCTTCTATGGGAGATCAGTGGTATAATAAACAATGGGATAAATGTATCCGTTTGATTACCTTTAACCGATAACATTGATTTTTTTTTTTTTAATCGAAGGATGTATATAAAGTGACCTTTAAGGTGATCTCGATTGAAAAGTGGGAGGGCCACAACAAAGTGTACAGCATGCCTTTTTAGATACTATAACGTTAGTCTGTTTTGAGTCTTTACTGAACTGAACTCCAGGAAAGACAATAGTGATAAACACAATTTTGCTGTAGCTCATGATTTACTAACTCTGTTGGAGAGGCTACTCATGTGAAATTTTGCTTTAAGTTTTTTCTTCCAGGGGTGGAGCAGGCCTCTTATTTACTGAAGGAGGATCCTATTCATCTTAAATGTTTACAAAGAGAGCTTTTGAATATTTGTTTTAAATGCAAGGTATTCAGGCCAGGGTGTCTCTCTGACTCCATTTGTACAGGTCCTTGTAAAATAAGGCCTTGATTTGGGCTTATGGATAATACTGAAATTAAAATAATAAACTCTGAAAAATAGAGTTTTTATAGTGGAGGTGTTTGGACCACCATTAAGAGTTAGCAAATAATAGAAATGTAGGCCTTGAAAGGGACCTTGAGAAGTCAAGTCCAGCCCCCTAAGCAGTGGCAGGACCAAATAAACCTTGACCAGTGGTCACTAACCAGTCAGTTGTGATCTCTGGTGGTGCAGCAGGGTTGCTCTCTGCCTGCCTCAGCCCCACGCTGCTCCCGGAAGCAGACAGGGTAGACCCGGGGCGGGGGGGCAGGGGTCTCCCTCTGCATGCTGCTCCTGCCTGCAAGCGCTGCCTCCGCAGCTCCCATTGGCCATAACTC